GACCCATTGGAAATGGGGAGAAAGCAAAGCAGAAAGCAAACAAACCGTGCAAGACCCATTAGAAATGCAACAAAAGCAAAGCAAAAAGCATACAAACCCCGCAAGACCCATTGAAAATGGGAAAAAACAAAGACTGCAAGACCCATCACAGCACAGAAACATAACCCCCCCAGCCCAAAACCATGTTGCAAAACCCATGCAGAACAGTTTTTAAAAAGCAGAAAGCAGCACCTTATCTTACCAGGCAGTCCGAAGCCTCCTCCGATCCCACACTCTCTAACTGCTGGAGTGAAAGAGCTACAAAGAAGCAGCCTCTTCACCACCAACAGTTAGCAATTTTAATTTCTGACCTTTTCTCCCTGCCTTTTTCTGGTTGTAACTCGAAGCTTTGTCTGCAAGTTGAAGCAAAATTTTGCGGCTGGAGCTGGTCGTAACTTGAAATGGCCGTATGTCGGGACGTTGGTAAGTCGAGGCACCACTGTAGTATGAATCTGCATGCAGTTGAAATCCAGCCTGAAGTGGAAATATTTATTGTGGAGACAGAAGTTGTTGTAAATGAATGCAAAACAAGAAAAATCTCTACAAGTCTGTCTAGTGGGAGAGCATGTGTTTAATATGTTATAGAAGCCAAGGTCAATACTATTACTTCCTACAAAATACTTGAATAGAATATCTTATATATTTCTTAACCATGCAAGTAATAGGGTAAAAAGTTTGTTCTCTGGCTTCATTTTAAGCACAGTTGCAAAGACTGGGAGATCATAGCAATATCATTGGTTTATTTTGCTTCCAGTATACATGCATAGCATTGCTTTATATCCATAACAAATTATTATTTCAGAGGCTGTTTAGCTGATGCATTTTTAACCATCTGTTTAGATATGGATGAATTCATATTTAGTAAAATGAAGAAACTCAAAACAGTGAAGACCAGTGCCAAGAATGAATCTTAATACACTTAATGGCAGCCTGCACAAAAACTAAAAATTCTTAAGTTTTAACTCATTGCTGTTCTTCCTGATTCTGTTTAATTGATGTCATCCTTCTGATAATGCACAAAACCCTGCATATTCAGTGTGACTAGAACTTTAACCTAAACATATGGTGCTTAAGCAGCTTGTTGAGGTCCTTTTATATTAGCCTCTTCTGGTATGGTGTCTGTTTCAACAGCAACAGTTGCTCTTCTTCTGGTCTGATATGTATGAAGACTAGGTCCCACAAGGTTGGTCTCTCTAGCATGTTAAGGGAACCCTACCCTTTGCTAAAAGGTGATATACTGATTTAGTGGCTTATAAACATTCCAGTAAGCCATGATGTGATTTTTCAGATTTCCCAGAATTGGGACAGGATCAGCTGTGTTGGCACAGGTGACTGAGGTGGTGCCACATAACTGTCTTGAGGTCTTGCTCTGCAACAAGAACCATATTCCGGACTAGTGAAGGTGTAGCTGAGCTGCAGGTTTAGTCTAATGTTTCCTTCCCCCAGCAAAGTTCCACAGTAAAATTCTTGTCTCGCTGGTTCTGTAAACAAAACACAACTGAGATGGCTAGCAAGGTTTCTAACCAAATTCTTCCTGTATGATTGATCTCCACTGAGAGTGCTTGGTGGGAGATACCATATTTTTCCATGTGTTAGACTATACTTTTGTCTAAAATCTTGAGACTAAAAACTGAGGTTCGTCTTATACAGGAAGCAAGCTGAGGAGAAAAAAAACAAGTGGAGGGGAAAGCAGGGGCCAAAGTGATCCTGCAGGACTTTGATCATTTTTGCCCTACATGTGCTAAATTAGATTTCTTAATTTTGGGTTAGAAAAGTGGTGTGTGTCTTATACATGGGGGCATCTTATACACAGAAAAATATGGTAATTAAAGACCCTTTGTTTGAGTCTTGGAATGGTTGGCCAAGGACAATGGTGTACTGGGAATTGGGAAATGCACATGCTCATCATGGTTGTTTCCTTAGACAGCCCTCTTTCATAAGGAGAGTTTTTTAAAAGCCTGGGTCTTGTCTCTAAAGTAGGAGGCATCATTTTTCTGGCTCTCCAGCTCAGTAGATTCCATAGAGGTATTCTGTGAGGGCAAAATACATGCTGTGTCACTAAACTATGGGCATTCTCTTTTCCTTGTGTTCTGGCTCATTTGAGATAAAGCAGATCTTGTACTTGGATGTTCCCCCTCTCCAACCCCTGTTGGCTGATGCTGAGGGAAAAGTCCTGGACTGCAAGTTGCCTACTGCTGATCCGAAGTGTTTGTATTGCTCAGTGGTTAATATATAAGGCTTCTTCTCCATTTGAAGGCTGCTTGGAATGTACACCAGAAGCAATTTCTGCCTGATTGTTTGTGTAAAATACTGTTCATTTTGCAAAGATAAGAACTTTGCTGAAATTGTCTAGAGCCTAGATTCCTTGAAAGTGCAGGAAGAATTTAAGTCATTTTTGGCAAGAACCAGTATTTTTTAAAATTGTGGTCACTATGCATTTGTGTAATGGATCTATGACTGTGCGGAATTAGACCAGCTTTATGTCATCTGGTACCCAGACATGCTGGTACTACGGCTGTATGTTAGATTGTGTGATGTTAGGTAGGTTGTATGACCTAGATTGTGTTTGATTTCCACTTTGCTTGAGATAGAGAAAGGTGTTCAGAGAGCAGCTCCCATCAGTCCTCGTGGGCATATTTTAGACTTCTGGAAGGGCACACCATTTTGGCTCAAGTATTTTCCAAATCAGAATGGATGTAATTACGTTAGTGTACTGGCTGGCTGTAAAATCTGTGCCTGATGCCCCTAGAAGGCATTCCACCAGAGTTGCAGCTACTTCTGCATTTTTAAGCTGGTTCTTCTTGCTTGACTTGTGCCAAGCTGTGATCTACTACCAGTTGTCTGTCTTCTTTGGTACTAACATCTAAATGCCGGGTCCTCAAGGAACATTTCTTCAGTATGGCAATTCTGTCCACGGTGCTCTCACGAGTTCAGGTGCTAGTAAGCTTACCCTTTGCTCTCTTCTTGGATTTAAGCTTTTGCTGTTCTTCACACAGTTGTCAAGTTTGTTTTTTAAATGGTCACCTATACCACTGGTTCTTAACCTTGGGTTACTCAGGAGTTTTGGACTGCAACTCCCAGAAGCCTTCACCACCAGCTGTCCTGACTGGGGTTTCTGGGAGTTGCAGTTCAAAAGCATCCGAGTAACAGAGGTTAAGAACCACTGACCTATACATTCATATGACCTGCTGTTCAAACAAAGGTTAAGAACCACTGAGCTATACATTCATATGACCTGCTCTTCCTCTCCTCTTCATCATCTGCTGCCAACTAAGCTCTGTCACTGTGTTGTCCACATTTTTTAGCTGAGGATCTGCACCCATGTGTGCTACAGGTGGGAGCGCTGGTACTGCCACCAAAACACTCTGGAATCTTCCAAAGGGTGGCTCTGTGTAGCCACAGACTTATTACTATGAATGCATAGATGACCACATAGAAAGCATAGGTTACAGATGAGCAGCCTGTTTTCTTAGCTGCTGTAATCTTTGGATACTACAGTCCTCAGTCATGATCTTGATATATCTGTGACAACTTAGGAGAAGAGCAGACTGCCAGCGCTTCAGTTCCATCACATCCTGCCATTCTGAAATGGCCCAGTAAGAAGAACAATGACATTCTTCTGTTTGTTCTCTTTTGTGTCTGCCTGACTACATATTATGTGTGGCTAACACTGAAAATGTTGCATGTGAATCCTTTCATGTAATGTTTAGGCACACTTACTGTTTTATGGCAACATCATGTGAGTGGGAACACTTGGGGTGGTAGTGCCATACTGCATGTAAAGGTTCTTCTGCCTTGAGTATTTCAGGATTGGAGGTAATCTGTTCACTTCTTATTTAAGGGAATTTGGCTCTTTTTTTTCTCCTCTGAATGTTTACACGAGTAGCATTGTATTTTATGGGGCTTATTCCTAGATAAATATGTTTAACATTAAACTTCAATTTAGTGGTTTTGAGTCATAATGCTTGCTGTGGGTGTTACAGTCAAAAACATTTTTTGTTAATTATTGTGTTTGTGTCCTTTAAGATGTCAGTGACTTTGCATCATTGTAGATGAGGAAGATACCCTGAATTTCTTTGACATTAAATAGTATATTCCTGTATCTCAGGCTTAGGGGGAAAATCATTCTAAATAGGGAAGTGAAAAGCTGCTGACCTGGTGAGCTGATTAGAATGATCATCATAAACAGTGGAATATCTGTGTGCATAGTTAATAAGTGCAGATAGATAGGAAATATCGTATTATGTATATATGATACATTTAATACTGCCTGGAACCTGTTTTTACCATGCATTGTAGGTCAAATGCAAAAGTCTTCATATTGGTTGCTTTTAAGAAGACATCCCTTTGTACATGTGTGTCTTAGGATCATGTTGTGAAAGAGGCATCATGGCTGAACAGTGTAGTAATGAACAGAATGCTTGTTATTGCACTGCATCTCCGATGAGTCTTAACCAGCATATTAAGTGGTTGGAAGGATGCTGGGAGCTGTAATCCAACCACATCTAGAGACGTGCATATTCCCATCATTACTGCTACAGGCCAGCTTGTAAACAGCTGCTTTCTTGGCTGTCTTCTGCAAGCTAGAAGATTCTCCTGATCATTGCACAGGGAAGCTCCTGGTAAATTTGAAGAATGTTTTCTTGAATGCAGAAGTTATCATGCAGTGAATGACATATGTAGTAGCTTTGCAACTGAAGTTTTCTGTGGACTAGTAACATTTGTGAACTATTGTAGTTTTTTGCTTCATACTATCCTTTTTGTTGCACTATAACAAGGGTGTTATTTCAATAGTGTTGACATATTGTGCTTCAAATGTCTTTGCAAACAGATATGTTCTCCCTCCCTCCTTCTCTCCCTCCCCCTCTGTCTTTCCCTGTCTTTACATTTTGTCATGCTAACAATTTGTTGAAATACTTCCAAAATGTGTTTTTCCTCACAGTCTTGTTTTTACACTGCAGGTGCTGTGAAGCAGTAGATGTAATATTGAAGAAACCCTGAAGGCACAAATGGCTTTAGCTGGCTGCCCAGACTCCTTTTTGCACCATCCTTACTTGATAGTAAGTCATAACTTAAATGTATGTTTAGAAATCTGGAATTTAGTTACACTTACGCAGTAGCATCATCTCATTAAGCTAAATATCTAGTTGCTCCTTAAGGAACACACTTTGAGAAGTGATCATATGAATACTCAAGTGGAAGGCTAGATACCTGATGCTTGTGTTTAACCCATTAACCATTCCTGTTGTCTTATCAAAGATATTTGTTAGTTAGTGTAGTTTGGGGACTAAGACTGATCTGTAAACCGGAAAGTCCCAAATTCAGAACCTGCCTCTGCTGTAAACCCCCCAGATAGCTCTAAATAAGCCAGTTAAAGCTTGGCTAAGCCTGAGTTTCCCTCACTCTCTCCTTTGTGTGCCAGGGAAGGAATCAGAAAGCTTCACTTGTGGCTTTGAAACAGATCTGAGCTCTCGTTGTGTCTAAACGTGTAGAACTCGTTTGCTCTAAAACTCCTTGTGAGAAGAAGCCAGTTGATGCCTCTTGCTGAATTTGTTGATTTGCAATCCATGACCACTAAGAGCAGAGCAACACAACATAAGTTAAAATGGGTTGTGTAGAATGTATAAAGATTATAGTAGAGATTCAATTTAAATCTAGTATTAGGATAAAACAATTAAGATGCAGTTGTAAATATTCTAAACAGGTTTTAAAATAGTTGATACTTGCTTTGTGTTTTAAGATACTATGACTGGTCTAAGGATTGTAAATAAACTTTATCATCATCAACATTATCATTATACTGATGGTTTTTAATAAAATGGTGAGCTTCTGAAGAACAGTCTGGAAACTGTTTCAAAAGAGGGTGTAAACAAATTTCTCTAGCTCAAGTAAAAATTATACTTATAAAGAACACATGAGACCTCATAATTATGGCAGAGGCAGTATCTGCCATTGACTGTTATATCTGCCTTCTAAATCTTAGAAGGAAAAGCATTAAAATGTGCCAAGGAAAAATCTTTCCCATATTTGGGAACAGATAGCCAGCACTGATAAAGCATTCCTTTTTTTTTGGGGGGGGGAGTCTAAATATGGCAGACCCAGTGACTAGAGGAAGTATGGCCCTCAGCCTGTCCTGTCTTGTCCTTGTAAATGCTGTAAGCCGCCCAGAAACCTTTGGGTAGTGTGGGCGGCATATAAAATAAATAAATAAATAAATAAATA